CCATCTGATAATAATCATCTGCTCACTAATGACTGACTTCAAGAGGCATTTTCTGGAGTTCTAGTGAGAAGCCGTGACCAGTGGAGTTCAACCAGGACTGTTGTGAGATATCAGTTCACTGTACGGTGGCGTGATTTCGTGGGTTACTTGAAATCAGACACTATCATTTTTTCTTTATCTGACTTAACTTGTTTACTTTTGAAAGTTTTAGTTTCTCTCTACACAACATTATCCGTACAAAGTTCATCTAGAAGTGATTTGTTCAAATCTAACTGGATATAATCTAGTTTAACTGAAAAGTATTACACAGTTCTCAATTAAACATGATAGCTAAATAGAGAGCACATAAATCTACACATAGTAGCTAGAATATTCAACCTAAATAGAGGTATTTTAATATTGTTTTATTTGAATCTTCCCATTGATGTTTAGGACTGAAATTGTTCAGTCTCTTATTGGCATATGTGCATACTGTGCGTATGCCTCGATATTGCCTTAATTTACAAGCATTATAAGCAAAGATGGATAGTGGCTAGCAGTGGAATCCAGGACGCGCGTTTCATCCTAGTTGGGACTCGTCAGCTGGATGTACCTGCATCTCAGAGTTGATGTTCACCCCATTGCACAAGTAAGTGGCTATCAGGACTCAGTAGCTAAGTAGATAACGCGATGGCGTTTGAAGCGGACGGTACTGGGTTCGAGTCCCACAGTGAACATCAACTCTGAGATGCAGGTACATCCAGCTGACCAGTCCCAACTAGGACGAAACGCGCGTCCTGGATTCCACTGCTAGCCACTATCCATCTTTGCTTATAGAGGTATTTTAATTTTCAAAAAGAAGGGGAGAAACAAATAAATGACTTAGTAACAACACATGTAATTGAGATAACAAATGAATAAGTCTATAAATAAATTCTTGCTAAAATAATAAACTCAATAATTAAGAGTACATGTACTGAGGTCTTTAAAATCGATATATATGAACATGTCATTAAGAATATGATGATGAAGATTATATTATCAGAAGGGGTTTTGTGTAGATTTTAGTCATTTCAATAGTTGAAATCATGAATCAATTGAAGCTAGACCAGTATGGAAAACCTGTTTGTTTACAAATGTGTTCATACATAGTTGACGAATTCTACACACACATACATACAAAAACATGTTTTTATGCATAGATTCACAATGTATTACTTAAAATACTTTCAAAATGTACTCCAAAAGAATTTTTGGTGAGACTATAATTTATGAATGACCTTTAAGTGATGTTAAAGTGACCGTAAGAGTCTACACCTAATAACTAGGACTAAATGAAGGTTATAAACTAGTGTGTGAAATTAGAATTATGATTTACAGTTGATGATTAAGGTTACGAAATAGATTTACGGTTTTCATCACGAACTGACATCGGCTATAATGCCAAAACGCTATTTGGTCAAATGGATGAGTGAATTCCGCGCCAAAATTCGAGATCTGTTATGTTTTACCTAATTGGTTTGTCCATAAATTAAACTTAGTTATTTACTTATTTACGCCTGTTACACTCATTGATGCGTAAGCCACCGACCAGCATTCTTCAACCAACTCTGTCTTGAGACTTCTTTTCTAGTTCTATCCAATTAATGTTCATTTTTCCCATGTATGTCTTCATTTTTCGGCGTAATGTGTCCTTTGGTCTCCTTCTAACCAACTGGCCTTGAGGATTCCATGTAAGGGCTTGGTTTGTGACGCAGTTTAGTGCTTTCATCAATGTGTGTCTTATCCACTTCCACCACTGGGATATGGTTTGTTCTTTCCCATAGTAGGTTGTTTCTGATAGTGTCTGACCAACGGATACGAATGATTTTGCGTAGACAACTGTTAATAAACACTTATATCTTCTGGATGATGACTTCAATAGTTCTTCCATAGTTTCCACATCATACAGCAGAACTGTCTTGATATTTGTATTGAAAATTCTGACCTTGGTGTTGGTTGACAAAAAGTTGTTTTGAATTCCAGATGTTCTTCAATTGTAGATATGCTGATCTTGCTTTGCCAATCCGCACCTTCACATCTGCATCAGATCCATTGTGTTCATCAATGATGTTGCCCATATATGTAAAGGTTTTTACATCGTGCAAAGCTTCTTCGTCAAATGTGATTTGATTAGTGCATATTGTGTTGTATGGGAGAATCTTGCTTTTCCCATTGCGTATGTTTAGACTTACTGCTGCTGAGGCTGTTACTAAACTTGTCGTGTGCGATAGAAGAGCCAGATCATCTGTGAAGTTCAGAGTTCGTCTTGCTTCATCTTATCTATTCATTGTATCCCATATTTCCCTCTTAGATGTTGACGTCTTCATAATCCAGTCGATCACCAGGAGAAAGTCTCGTCGAATTTTTCCTTTTCATTTTATGTATTAACAACTTTGTCTCTTCTTCCCCCCCTCCAGAAAAATAATTTTTATTTACTAGTGGATATGATCTACTTTGTTTTTTTTCCTCTTTTTCGTTTAAAAAAATATTTTGTTAATGCTTAACTGATTTTAATATTTGTAAATCATTAAATTATTCAGCCATTAAATTATTTTTTTTTTTTCGGAGAAATTTGATTGAAAATCTTGTCAATAGTTTCTCATCATTGTGATAAACATTAGAAAAACAAAGAAAAATATTCATGATGACAATTAAGTTGATGATGATGATGATGATGATGATGTTGGTTACGCTTTATTTTGTCAATTACTAAATGATTATAATCAGAAAGGGGGTTTTGTGGATATTATAGTAAATTCAATAGTTGAATTCATGAGTCAATTGAAACTAGACGATCATGGATTGATTGAAGTTAGAGATGAACACCGTTGGATATCAGCCGGCTCAGTGGTCTAGTGGTTAAGCGCACGCGAGAGAGACTGATAGATCCTGGGTTCGAATCCCGAGAGGCAGGATCATGAGTACGCATTATTGAAAAGTCCTAGAATAGGACGAAACGGCTATGTAGTGCTTCCAGATTCTCAATGATAGTCTAACATCAATCGGTTTAATTTAAAAACTTAATAATCTTCACAACCTCATAATGAAAATGTTCGACTACATTACACAATTTAAAGATCCTGACCAAGTATTACGTTACTTACTTACTTACGCCTGTTACTCCCAATGGAGCAGCATAGGCCGCCGACCAGCATTCTCCAACCCACTCTGTCCTGGGCCTTCGTTTTTAGTTCCATCCAATTCTTCTTCATTTTTCTCATGTTTATCTCCATTTCCTGACGTAATGTGTTCTTTGGTCTTCCTCTCCTCCTTCGACCTTGAGGATTCCATATGAGGGCTTGTCTTGTGACGCAGTTCGGTGTTTTCCTCAATGTGTGTCCCATCCACTTCCAGCGCTTCTTCCTGATTTATTCCTCCACTGGGATCTGATTTGTTAGATAATGTTATATTAGTGAATTTTTGAAAGTCAACTAATGATCTTATGAATTCTTAAATAGATCCATTAAGTTTATGTAAATTTCTACTTGTTATTAATAAAAACAACCATAATGAAGGTTCTAACTTGACGTTGATTGAGTAGAAATGTTTATTCGTTTCCACGTCTAGTTTATTGTATGTAGTACTTCTTATTATTCTTATGATGTTCTCATATGAGCTATTTAAGAGCTGTTCCTTTAGTTAAACTTGATTTAAATCATAGTCTGTTGCATTCATTCTTTTCTATTTAAGTAATGACCATCTTATAATCTTTACATATTTGTTATAAACACCGTACTATTTAGACTTGTGTTGATTTCGGTTAGTTGTTTACTCTGAAGAAGTAGCTTACTTGAAGTCACAAAACATCAGAAATACAATTTTTTTCTACTCATTTGGATATAATGAAAATAAATTATGTTTATTTGAACCTTCATCAGATAATCTCTGTATATACTTACTTTCAGAATTGATAATGATCTTACCTTTTATTATAAAGTTATGCCAATATTATGTCACTGTATTTTGGTGACTTGTAAGTATGTATCTACGAATGAACTTTGGAATAACGATCATTCATTTGATTACTTAACGTAGTAGTCAGATATGTTTCCATTGAACTATTCACATATATTATTACAAAGCGTACATATACGTGTTGTATGTCCTGTCTCTCAACTGGATGGATATCTTCAACAATAATCTTTTCTGTGGTTACACAGCTCTATTGAGCACGGTTGTATCAATGTTGAAGTGAACTGTCAGCTAATCGCATTGCTAATCAATGACATTATTCTGTTTATGTAGAAAAGCTTATATTCAAGAAGGCTTAAATCTGGCACGCAAATTATGAACTAGATGCCATTAGGTTTTCATACAGTTGTAGTACTTACATTTCATACAACAAAACTCTAAAGTATGTTAAAATTAGGCTTCATAACGAGAGACTTTTTGTGGAAATTCGTTCTTGAGATATTTGGATGAAATAAATTTTTGTTAATAGATGGTTAACATCATATTTCTAGGTCTATTTAAAAGCACTTAAACAGAGGACACTACAGTAGATCGTCCATTTTCTACTTCATGTCGTTTTTTTTTGTTATTGACCATGAATAAGTAAGTGCGGTAAAAGTATGTTTACGGTTGAATTTACGACTCATTCTAAACTAAACTACCACTGCAAACTTAGAAGCTCTGGATAACCGTTTCGTCATAGTATGGGACTTCTCAACAATGCACATCAATGATCCTGTACATGAGATTCGAACCCAGGACATTCAGTCTCACGCGCGAACGTTTAACCTATAGACTATTCAGTCGGTAATCAACAGTGTTAATGTCTAACTTCAAACGATCCATGATCTTGCTCAACACTTAATGTATTATCTGAGGTGGATAACCATCTCACACTCGACACGGATCGGCACCATTCAAACGAAAATAGTTGAGATTTTTTCGAGTGTTTTTCTTTTACAAATATTCGTTATGTAAATATTATGTCCAATTAATTAAATTGATCTTTTATTATTCCATATTGACAGAAATCTATTTCCGGAAAATGTAGTACAAGCATGTTTACAGCAACAACAAAGTAGTTACGTCACAGTTGTTAAGCGTCCAAAGTATATTCGATTAACTGATGGAAACAACGGTACATCGAATATGGAAAACAAAACAAAACTAATCAGTTATGAAGCCATAAAACCGAAATATGTGGATAGTACTAATGTTTTAGGTAAGAGGAACTTCATAACATTACACATACCCTGTTACTTTTTATGGTTAGTGTTCTAAATATATTTCATTTTGATACAAATGTGTAACTTGTACAGATTATCAGTCAGTCAGTCAGCTGCAACGTAGGACCAGGCACGTATATGCATCGGTCCAAGTTGCCATACCGCATTAGCACAACAAGATGAACACCGGATTCATAGTAGTTAATTCAGTGGTGGTAATATATAGAAGAAAGATTGTGTATAAGGAGATAGTAAAGGAAGAAAGAATTAGTTCTTAGACAGATATGAAGCGATTTTAATCTCTTAATTTAAGGAAGACAGAGAGTGTATACACCGACGCCATTGTGAACGATTCTGAGCCATGTCACCAAGAGTCTCCAACCATTGGTTACGATAGTCACGCGGACCCCAACCAGGCAGTCTTAATCTCCCAGCATGGCTCAGACCAGAAGTTAGTGACTTCAAGCACTGATGCCACGTTTTAATTTGGCCGCCCCTAACTTTCTTCCAATTATTATCAACGATCTTAGTTATAGTCAAAGTATTGATTAAAATTGTCACAGTACTTGACAGTGCTGAGTAAGGAAATCAATAAATAAAACATACTTACTTACGCCTGTTACTCCTCGTGGAGAAGCATAGGCCGTCGGTCAGCACTCTACATCCAACCCTGTCCTAGACAATCCTTTCCAGCTCTTTGCAGTTGTTATTCATCCTTTTCATATCTGCTTCTATTTCCCGACGTAATGTGTTCTTTGGCCTTCCGCTTTTCCGCTTTCCTTCAAAATTTTAAATTAGGGTTTCCTCATGATGCATTTTAATGATGTCCTATCCATTTCCATCGTCTCTTCCTAATTTCCTCCTCAGCTGGAGGCTGAATTTGATAAAGTACAGTGATTACTAGATTGTTTAATTGAGTATTTTGATGACAGATTTCGTCACAAACTGAATTCAACTATAATATTGTAGAGTTATGTTGGATTGGTTTGAAGACTTTTCAGAATAGTGTAATAGTGTAATCTAAAGAACATATAGTCTAAGATACCATTAATCTATATTGTGTTTAAATTAAAATTACTGAATAAACCCAAATATTACTTATTTCATTAAATTTCATTAAAAAACTACTGAAAACGGATAACTAAATATGTTGAATGACATGTAACAAGCTCCATCGATTGATACTTTGATTGAGTCAAATCTTATCGTCTCGACTTATTCAGGAATTACTTATTGTATCTTCTAACTTAACAGATGGAGATAAATAATATTACAAGAGAATGAGAAAAAACAAACGAACACATCAAAAAGTAGCACACGTAAATTTTTGATTGAGATCATGAACCAATCGATTTTAGACTATCATTGAAAACCTGGAAGCACTGGATGGCCGTTTCGTTCTATTGTGGGACTTCTCGGCAGTGCTCATACACGATCCCGCTCGTGGGATTCAAACCCGGGACCTATCAGTCTCGCGAGCAAACACTTAACTTCTAGATCACTGAGCCAGCCGGCACCTAATAATATTAATGTCTAACCCCGACTAATCAACGAAAATGTGCGACCATCTTCGATTGTACTGAGATAGGTACCTGTCACGGCTTCTCACTAGAACTCCGAAAATTTCCTCATGAAGCTATTCACTAGTGAGCACATGGTAATTATCAGTATAGGTTTGTGGAGATTATTAAGTTTTTGATTGAGATCACGAACCGATCGATGTTAGACCATCACATCAGGATGTAGCACACGTATATTTTTATTTGAGTACATAAAGTGTTTTATTAAAACTTCTTTCTTCATAATAGCTTTAACTGATGAGCAAAATAACTTAATTTTATAAATATTGTAGAATTTAAATCATATAATGATCGTTTAGGTAGTTAGAAGTGGTCAACAGGAAACCCTTGACCTAGGTTTAAAGCTGGTTACTGCTCATCAGTAAAGTGTACCTGAAATCTTGAGGGAACTGATGTTCTCAATGGGATTTAAACATATATTTTCCAGTTTCATTATCTGAGTCTTTAACAGTGAACTATTCGAGCCATGATTAACCTGTATTTTGACTTGAGTCAATCAGGGAAAAAAACTCAAGTACTCTCGGCTGCTTTCAACCGACATACATATCAAAATCGCGCAGATGATATCGAGTTCTTCAGAGTGATGGTCACGTTGTAATTTTCTAGATAAAATTCGATCAGTATTTAGAAATAAATAAACACGATATTTATTATTACGCAGCAATCAGTTAGTTGTATACGTATATGGAAAACCTGGAGGCACTGGACAGCCGTTTCTTTTTAGTATGGGACTGTTCGGCAGTACGCATCCACGATCCCGCACCCGTGATTTGAATCTAGGACCATAGGTCTAACGCTAAAACGCTTAACCACTGAGTCGGCATCCAGGTCTTCCATGGTAGTCTAGCTTAAATTGACTCATGAATTCAACCATTAAAATAATAATTATCCAAGTGTAGGTTAGATAACAGAATAAGAGTAATAACAGGTGAAGATTTCAATCACAATTATAGATTTGTCATTATAGTAATGAATCAACAGTTGAACACATAGATTCTGTTTGAATTTTTTGAATAGTAATGTAAACAAGTTAAGTATTTTTCAATAGTTCAGATGATGAGTCGATAAAAGCTAGACTACCATGGAAAACCTGGAAGCACTGGACGGCCGTTTCGTCCTATTGTGTGACTCCTCAGCAGCTCGCATCCACGGCCCCGCCCGCGGGATTCGAACTCAGGACCTCTCGGTCTCATGCAAGGCGCTTAACCAACTAGACCACTGAGCCGGCATCCAATGGTGGCAATGTCTAACTTCAACTGATTCACGAAATTCAGCGACGCATTCACCATTGTCATCAGTGTGTTACTATCTCATAACTGACCCAGTTGAACTCCAGTGGTCACTGTTTCTCACTAGAACTTCAGGATATACCTCTTGAAACTAGTCACTAGTGAGCATATGTAGGTATTTTTGTTTGTTAATAATGTCGGTGATATAATGGCGATCAACTAGATCATCACACCTTTTAACCTTAAATCATTTTTTTATGACGTGATCAGAAATAAAATGAATGTATATGATTCTACTTTAATTGTTGTTTCAGGTTAATTAGAATTCATAAAAAGGGGGTTAATTATATGAAACGATTAAGAATGATGTATAAATGGAATAATAAAAATGAATGATTAAGGTAACAATTAAAAAGAGATCAAAGAATAACAGAACTATTATGTACAAATATATTTCACTGAATAAATGAGTTAACAAATATCAACACAATACCTAATTACTATTATTGTTATTATTAGTACTCATTAAGGAATAGAAAATATTTTATTAACTATAAACAAAGATGGATAGTGGATAGTAATGGAATCTAAGATGTGTGTTATGTTCTATTTGGGACTCGTCAGTTGAATGTACCTGCATTTCAAAGGTGATGTTCACTTTGGAACTCGATCTAAGTATCATTGGCTATAAACGCCATCGCATTATTCACTTATCTACTGAGTCCTGATAGACACTTGCTTGTGAAATAGAATGAAGTTTAAATTTACTTGATTTAAATTCATTTTACTTATAATGCTTGTGAATTAGTGAAATCTTGAGGCAATACGTACAGGATGCACATATACCAATAAGAGATTGATCAATTGCAGTTTTAAATAACAGTGGGAAGATACAAGCCAACAACATCAAGTGAATTATCTTCAATAAGGTACTATCTCACAACAGACCTGGTTGAACTGCACTGATCACAGCTTCTCACTAGAACTTCAGGAAATACGTCTTGAAGTCAGTCATTAGTTAGCACATGAGCATCTGTGTTCAAATTCCGTGGGCAGGAGCATGAATGCGCAATGCTGAAGAGTCCTACAATAGGACGAAACAGCTGTCCAATGCTTCCAAGTTTTTCATAATAGTCCACTTTCTAATGATTCATGATTTCAACTGTTGAAATCACTGTATTATTCTTAATGATTAAATTGTATAGATAAAATCTATCATTTCCATTATTCATTATCCATCACTTTGTTTAATATACAATTGAATCAAATTTCAGAAAACATATTAAACATTGAAAAAAAAAAATTCAATCCCATATTAACAATCACCATGTTTTTCGTTTATTATTCAAATTTCGTTAAAACAAAGCTCAACTAGGATTATTGAAGTGAGGGAACTAAAAATAAGGTAACAAAAACAAAACAAAAATTCATTACATTTATTGAGATTATTTCATATCTGTGATCTATACACACACACACACACACACACAAAGATCAAATAACTAGATTGGTATCCATTTCATTATAACCAATAAATTAACCACGTTTTAATCTAATTTATTTAATAGATTTTTTCTATTTCTCATTATCCATTTGCATGTTTTATTACATACTAACTCTATTATTATTTAATAGTTAAATTCATGAGTCAATTGAAGCTAGACTACCATGCAAAAACTAGAAGCATCTTTGTATAGGACTCCTCAACTGTATGTATTCACAATCTCGCCCTCACGATTCGAACACAAGTGCTCATGTGCTCACTAGTGACGGACTTCAAGACGTATTTCTTGAAGTTCTAGTGAGAAGCTGTGGTCAGTGGGGTTCAACTAGGTCTGTTGTAAGATAGTAGCTCACTGAAGACAATGGTGGATGGTGGCTCAATTTCATGAATTGGTTGAAGTTAGACATTAACACTGTTGAATGCCGGCTCAGTGGTTAAGCGCTCGTGGACGAGACTGATAGGTCCTGGTTTTGAATCTCGCGAGTGGGATCATGGATACGCACTTCTGAGGAGTCCCACAATGGAGCGAAACGGCCGTCCAGTGCTTTCAGGTTTCCGACGGTGGTCTATCATCAATCGGTTCATGATCTCAATCAAAAACTCAGCAATCTCCACAACACCTATTATCATGTCAACTATAATCCTGCTTATCTATTCTATTCAGATTAGGATTCATAACATTGATTAAAGCTTGTTTTAATACAATCAGTTCTAACTATAAACGATGTATGTTATACTTAAACGATTTAATAAATTAATGTTTCCTATAAATTGTTTTTTATTTTAAAAATTCTAGGATTAGTGTCATTCTCAATTATGTTTGGTATAATACTTGGTCAAATGGGTGATCGTGCTGTAACTATGGTACAGTTTTTCTCTGTTCTTAATGAAGTTGTCATGAGAATGGTACAAGTTATTATGTTGTAAGTAAACTTTACTTGTGATAATATAAAACTATATGTATATTATTATTATCGAATCAATGATTATTGAAGGAAAGATTGATAAATCATTAAATAATAATCATTATCATGTTTTTAATCTTCTGTGATAATCATAGAATTCTGTTAACCGTGTTGTAGTATTGTGACTAGTCTAAGTGATTCACACTCATTTGCATTGTATATAGACTTTAGATCATTAGATCAAATTACTACCAGTTGATAGGTCCTAATCTGGCTGAAACCTAGGTTAAGGTATTCCTTTCTCTTCCCTTTAACCATATATTTTAATAATTAAATGTCTACTCAATACGAGGTTAAACAAAGTCCGATAGGGACTATGATGTTTTTTTATGAATGAGAGATAAGAAATGCATGTTAAATTGAATATGAATTAAATTCAGAGGACACAGTATCTCTTAAAATGTTTGTTTTACTTACTAATTCGATGCAAATGTTAATACTAGTCGTGAAATATGTTTTATAAGACAGTATTTATGCATTTACAGTTGATTGATTACTGGGTGGTGATCAATGTCATGTATGTCAGATCTTTCTTAGTGTAGATCGAATCCTATCGACCAAATTGCAATGTGGTCACTAGTCTAGGTGACTCGACATTGTGTGCACTATGTTGAGATAAGATGATGGTTGGAGGTAGTCAACAAGAAACCCTGGACCTAGGTTTCGTGTTATTTGAGACTCGTCAACAAGGTGTACCTGTAATCTTCAGGGAAACGTTACTACTGAGCTATTTGTGCCGCGACTGACCTCCTGTAGGATTGAGATGTATTTACAATTGATTGATCACTGGGTAGTGATCAATGTCATGTATGTCAGGTCCTTCTTAGTGTAGATCAAATCCTGTCGACCAAGTATTTGTGTACACCAGTGATTAGTTGAAGACAAGCAGAATAACTAATCAGTGGTTGGTAAATGAAATATGAAAGATACACTAATATTGAAATGTTTGGAGATTTCGAATTTATTTATCTATGGTAAAATGTATCTGTAGTGGGGATTAGATTTGTTAATTAATCACCTTGATAACCGTTATTGTATAAATCCCAATGTTGTTTAAATTCAGAAGGCAATAAGAAGAGGCGACTATAGTTTATTAGTGGAGGATAGCACAGGTAATAAAATTACAGTCACATCAAGTGAATACAAAGGCGAATTTATAGTTAAATCGAATCAGGGAGCAGCTAAGCAAGGTAAAGGCTATTAATAGGATTCGAGTGCATATATACATGGTAAAGAGAATGATTGATCGAGTAATATTTAAGCGATCAACAGTCAGTCAGTTGTGTTCGAATAGAGAGCCTTTACAAAGTTAATGTACTTCTTTGGTACTCCTTTCAGTGACAGTCACTGCCAATAGAGATAAACACTTAAACTAAAAAGAGATATGTGAGTAGGCTATCACATGTGATCAAGTGTACAATTTTATACAGACATGATGATGATCATAATGATACAAAGAAATAGACATATTCTTACTATCCAAATAACATTGTCTGTTAAATAAGTTAATCAAAGGGCTTGACGAAGATTGACCATAATCAAGATACATCTTAGGGGTCAGTCAGTTACAATGTAGAACCAGGCATATACATGTATCGTTCCAAGTTGCCATACCTCATTAGCACAACAAGATCAACACCAAATTCATAGAAGTAGTTAATTCAATGGTGGTAATATATAAAGTAAAGATTGCATATAAAGATATAGTACAAGAAGAAAGATTTAGTACGTAGAAAGAAAGATATGAAGCAATTTTAATCTCATAGTTTAAAGGAAGATATCATTGTGATCGATTCTGAGCCATATCACGAAAAGTCTCCAACGATTGGTTACGATAGTCACACGGACCCCAACCAAATAGTCTGCATTTACCAACATGACTAGGACTAGAAGTTAGTGTTATCAAGCACTGATGCCACGTATATCGTAGGAGAGTTACTATAGTTACAACCAAATGACACACATAACCTGACCATTACAATGTAAGTTAATGTTTATAATTTCAATCTATTTATTGTTCTTCTAAGTCTTTTGTTATTCTTTTTAATAATTTATATTTTTATATATTTACTTATTACATTTTAGATATTCACCATTTGGTATATTCTTTCTAATATTGAGTAAAATGTTAGAAATTGAAAATTTAAGTGATACAGCAAAAGCATTAGGTTTATATATGATAACTGTAGTTACTGGTTTGGCTATACATTTACTTGGTACATTAGCATTACTCTATTATGTGGTAACAAGAAAAAATCCATTCATATTCTATAAAGGTTTATTTCAAGTGAGTAATTATGATCTTGTTCAAATATGAATAATAATCATATTTTTTTTTGCAAAAAAAAAAAAAATTGATTCACAATAATAAGCAAAGTAATGGATAATGGCTAGCAGTAGAATACAGGATCAGTGTTTCGTCCTATATGGGACACATCAGCTGAATTAAGACTTTAATATATTTTATGAATAGTGATCATTTGGAATAAGATTATAGTTTTAATCATTTATATATTGAAAGTAATAACAAGCATTAGCTATTTATTCATAGTTTATTTCAATTTGAGTTGAATTGATATGATAAGTTCTGGTTAGTAAAAACTGATTGAACATATACACATATTTCCTATTCAGATGAATTTCTTGTCTGAAATTGAGTATTTATAACTAAGCTGAGATGTATTTAACAGTACACTGTAGGTAACTGTAGATGAATCAAATCGATTCAAACTTAAGTCATCATTCATATCATGATTTATTTAAGCTCATTATAAATCATCCTTTCATATAAGTAGCTTAACATTTCATCATGCTATACTTCATGTTGACTTAATGCCCTGTTACGGTCGAAGGTAAAGAGAGTCAGATCTATTTCTCTAAATTCTCTCATATGGACACATGCATACAGCCGCTGATAGGGAAGTCCTACTCACTGCCTTGTGGTGGTGGGGTGTTGTTTACGAAATTGAGAGGACGAAAAGCGAATGTCCGGTACATTAACCGGGTTGGTGGATATGGAGGATTCACCTAGGAAAGTTGGAAAGCAATGATTTTAAATCAATGGTTCACATGGACTCCAGGATCCTGAAGGAACAGATGGCATATAAACCTATAGTTGGTCACCGGCTTCCATGGGACTGCATCTCCTGACGTTGCTCCACTATCTTGTGGATTAAATCTTTAGGTCGAAGGCTCCGATTGTGGCCCCCTAAGTAAACCAGGTGCTTCAGTTTGAGCACTCAGGCAGTATCATAGATCACACAGAAATGAAGTGACTTGTGTGGCACATATGTATTCGGTGCCCTTTTGTACCCATATCTATGTGTTGAAATAATGAGAGCAAATATGTCAGTCAGTCAGCTACAAAGTAGGACTAGGCTCATATATGCATCGATTCAAACTGCCACATCTCATCAGCCCAATAAGGTGAACACCAGATTCATAGAAGTAGCTGCTACATTGGTAGTAATATATAAAAGAACGATTGTGTATAAGGATATATTACAGATATCAATTATGAGACATTGGTAATTTATTAACATTTGTTTATAGATACCTCCAAAGCTTTAGTTGCGTTTATTCCGTTTATCTAATAGCCGATCCTGAGGTAAGATATAAAGTGATGGGTAAGTATAGTGAATAGGTCGGTGTGGCCTAACCAAGACTGAATCTGTTCATACAGTAACCGATGGTTGAATTAAGTCACATCGGTAGATGGAAATCATCAGGTTTGTGGTCCACGTATAATCGTGAACAGTGGTTAAGGACGTCGCGTAATACGGATCAGAATTCATCTCATTTACATAGATGCATTCACTATTTATCTCTCCCTATATCCAGAGTTTTAAAGTCATTGTGTGTTCTTATTTCAGTTTATTTATTTATTTTTTCGAACCATATCTTTTCCACGGCTACTGGTACTGTTGCTACTATCATTACTCAAGAATTTGTCTTGATAGTCCTAACACACTGTACTAACGTGATGTGGCAACTTGAACTGATGAACATATATGTCACATTCTACATTGTATTTGACTGATTGAATATTTATGGAAACTAATTTCATTCTGGTTGAGCTTTATCAACCATCTTTGAACTTGATGTGACTACGAAAAACTAAATGTGAACACAAATAATCAAGATGACGTAATAGAAAGATTACAATACTAGATTACGTAATACGAATAATAACAATAGAATTAGATTTAGTGATTGTAATATGATGATTAAAATGTTTCTGTTACAATAATTAAAGTTCATAGATGTGTAAAAAATAAATAAAATGATATAATAATCATTTATGAATAAAATAATGAGAATATAAGACATAAGTAAAGGGGAATGCAATAATTATTATAATAATTTAGGTTAAGGTAACGATAATGATAGGATGTACTTGTTTTGTGTTATATCCTAGGGAAGATTAAATTACGGGTAACTCCTAAGGACTATTAATGAATTAATATTCTATGAATATTCTTATTATATAACTATTTAATAACTAGATTGTATATATCTATATTCCCCTTATTATAAGCTTCATTTTGACCTATAGATTATTATTGTACGATTTACTGTTCCCAAGTTATACTCAGTTTATTAATTACTGTCTCCCACATTCACAGCCACATTTTGGCTATAATTTGTACGAGTGTTATTTTCTATTTTATGGTGCGTTGCGGTCTGTTTGTTTGGTATATAAATCCAGTATGTCTGAAATAAATGATTCGATTCGATTCGTATAGCGGAAGGTGGTATTAGTGTTCTGGACTCAAGTGGACAGGCTAAGCAAACATAGGATCAATAAGGACTCTAGGCTGCTCATACCGGTCGAACGTCATTGCTTTGGTACAGTGCTAAGATTGTATAAGTCGTATTTTAATTGGTGAATAGATCACGTGATAACTAGCTGGGCATAAAGTGACAACAATTTGAACGCATAGTTCTGGTTTGAGCCCATGGATAGTACGAGCTTCGGCTATTTTTAGGAGTTGAATACGAAGAAATCTAGGTAGATTTGAACGAATCATATATACAACCTATTGTGACCTTATGAGCCGCCAGTTATCACGTAGTCTAGTCGCCAATCAAAATACGACTTATTCTCTCTTATACTGTACTAAAGCACTGACGTCCGACCGGTCTGATCAGCCTAGCGTCCTATTGGTCCGTCGCTCGCCTAGCCCGTCCAGCTGAGTCCACAATGCCAATAACAACCTCCATTATGCGAATCATTTATTTCAGACATACTGGATTTATATACCAAACAAACAGACCGCAACGCACCATAAAATAGAAAATAACACTCGTACAAATTATAGCCAAAATGTGGCTGTGAATGTGGGAGACAGTAATTTATAAACTGAGTATAACTTGGGAACAGTAAATTGTACAATAATAATCTATAGGTCAAAATGAAGCTTATAATAAGGGGAATATAAATATACATAATCTAGTTATTAAATAGTTATACTATAAGAAGATATAGATAATATTAGTCCATTAATAAGTCTCAGAAATTATTCTTAATTCAATTTTCACTAGGACATAACACAACTTTAAAATCAAACTTTGGATCCGTAGAATGATTACAGTCGATTAAGTGTTTAAGTATAGAACTCCTAACTGCTTTCCCCTCACCTTTGTAGAACCAAACGGTAATGTGTTCCTGTATCCGAGTCTAAATCTATTATTATTATTATTATTATTATTATTCGTATTACATAACCCAGTAGTATAATCTTTCTATTACATCATGTTAGTTATTCCATGTTCACATGTCCTCAGGGAACTAGTACTTTAACAAATATTGTTTCATATATATACGAATGTACAGCTTGATAAGAAATTCGTTGAAAAGAGATCCATTCGTTGAACTTCGTATTATTAAAATCATGTTATCATCAGTTCATTTTCTCTACAACACTCAAATTTCATTGACAAGTAATTTGTCTAAATTCTTTATTAAATTTATAAGAAAATAATAATTATTTTTTTCTCTCTTTTGGATAAGATTAGAATAGATTATGAAAAATGGTTATTCGTTTTTCAGTTTACTATAGTAAAAAAAAAGATAAACCTCACACACAGTCACATACGCACACACACACACACACATATATATATATATATATATATATATATATATATATATAATTACGCACACACAAGGAAGAAGCAAGACACAATTTATTATTCACATTGGATATGTTTTAATCTAATCCGATTGTATGTAAATAAATCAAGTAAGATAAAGACTTTCCACCCCCTCCATCTTAGCAACAAAAACAACAACAAAAAAAAACTCAATTTATACCCTCTCAAAAAAGATTTTAATGTGAACAGTAAAATGAAGTGGTTGATTTACTTGAACTAAAATAGAAGAAGAATTAAAATAACTAGTTAAACTTTATCGTAGAATTAAAAAAAGGAAAAGAAAAGAAGAAATGATATAAGTTAGTTCATTTTTTAGATGGAGAGTGGTTGGGGTGATGTAGGGTAAATGAATTGGTAGTTAATCATAAATATATCGTAGATATTGTTATCTAATTTATTTTTTTTCGTATTAGTTACTAATCTTATCTCTTGTTTTACACTTTAGTGAAAAATGTAGATTTTTTTTTCGATTGTATAGTTTCTTTTTTTTCTTCTCTCTTTTAAATGAAGATAGTTTTAATAAGATCTAATGTAAATTATTATCAAGTATAGTATAAATGAGTAGTCAAGTACTTGTTGTTAGGGTATTAGGTGGGTTTTTCTTGGTATACATTTTTTTATTTATTTAAAAAAAACGCAATAAATGAACTCGTATGCAAAAGAGTATTTCAGGTTTCTTTCTAACACGGTGATATGTATATCAGTGAAGACATTAAATGAACTCAATAATGAATGTCAAGTTACGATGAATATATTAGAATATGACTTACGCCTGTTATTCCCAATGGAGCATAGGCCGTCGACCAGTATTCTCTAACCCATTTTGTCTTGGACCTTTCTTTTCTTTACTACAACTGTGGTGTATGCTACTTAAATCGATAGGCATAAGTAATATATATTACTGGTCAGAAATTGAAGACCTGAAGGAAGAAGAAGAATGAGAAGATAGCATTGAAGAAAACAGAAAGAAATTATGAATTGAAAGATTCATGAAGGATATAAAGGACAATTAATGGAGGATTTACAAATGAAGTATTCAATATTTGGTTTTCACATTTCAAAAAAAAACTTTGTAATTTTGTATTAGACAATAAATTGGTTAACTCCACAAGGTCTTCGCTCACTACACTACTGAATAGGACAAAAATGAGAGAGACAATTGATTCTAATTTATATTACTATTCACAGAATGTTAACTGTAATGTAGTAAAAACAAATTAATGCGGTTGTGGAAACTGTAGAATTCCATTAAATTCATGAATAGATAGATGTTAGATAGCCATCGAAAACTTGGAAGCATTGGACGATCATTTCGTTCTCCCATGGGACTCTTCAGAAATTTGCATTCATGATTTCGCACATAGGAATCTAACCTAGGATCATGATATATATATATATATATATATATATATATATATATATATATATATATATATATATATATATATATATATATATATAGCATGTTTGACTACTATGACTATTACCACTAATACTGATTTGTATTATTTCTCTCTATCTTTTTTTACTCTGTTTGTACAACCTACAAAAGGCTTGGATTACAGCACTTGGAACTGCATCCAGTGCAGCTACTCTACCAATTACATTTCGTTGTTTAGAACAAAATCTAGGCATTGATAAACGTGTAACACGTTTTGTTCTACCCATTGGTGCAACAATTAATATGGATGGGACTGCATTATATGAAGCTGTTGCATCGATTTTCATTGCACAAATTAATGGAAAATATTTGACAATTATTGAAGTATTTATTGTAAGGTGAGTTCTAAAAATACAGAACAAAAGAAACGATAATGATTGTAATTAGATCAAGCATTATGAAAATCTGAACCTTTATTCGATTATACCATGAAAGAATACTTGATTTGAGTCTAAATTATATGGGGATAATAAATGTAGAGTGTGGGACCCTTATCTGAATTCATTTGGATTGTACGAATGATTGATATTGAGATATATACATATCATCAATCCTCGTATATAATCATCGACTTAACTAGCATTAGTGAATAATGGAGTTGAAATAAGTCAAAAACGAGAAGGGATCATTGATATAGGCAGACGATCAAAGGAACGAAACGAAATGATGTGCGATGGAAAAGTTATGTGAACCAACTCCATTTAATCAAGCGGTAATTAATATTTATAGACAAATAGAAATAAGTTACAGATATAGATGAATAAAATAAAAGTGTACACACACATACACCCATATAAAAACAGTCAGGGTTGACAAGTGAATAGTTAACAAGATCAGAACGTGAATCAAGAATGGATAACTCGGTTTATCCAGCAGTTACAATAAGTTATGTGGGCTTAACATAGTAACCAACACTACAAGAGTATTGAAATTAGTCTAATATAGTATTTTACAATGAAGATATTTTGAAGTATGAAGTAAACGATGAATTATCTAAAGATAGAGGTGACACTACCCAACTATACGAATTACGATTGACAGTCAACTGAGCTAATCATCAATCTGTACTTGTACAATATCAAACGTAATCATTTTGTTTCACATTATAGATTATTGTAGAACATTTTTCAGTAAACAATATGCGAATCCCATTCTTTTTTAAATGTGAACTTTAACGATACAGACATTTTCGAAAGTCATTTATTTCATCCTGGAACTATTTCTTCTTAGTTCTGTACACGATTACTATTGCAGTTTGGGGGGGGGGGACTATTGAATGTAATTGAATATAAAATTACAGAACATTTTAGTAAAATCTGAGAACTATACAGTAAATGCATCATTTGTCACAGACTTCATTGTTCTTTCAATTCCATAACAATCATCATTTGTTCTCGTTCTCTTTTCTTTGATCTTTTTAACTTTATACCTCCAGGCATTTCAATTTCGATTGGCAATATATATTACTTATATCTGTCGAAATCAGTAGAACACACTACACTATTACTAGTGAATATAACATAGAAATGAGCTTTCTAAATATAAATATTCAACACCTTAACTAATATAAGTACTGTCAGCTAGATTATGAGATATGTAAAGTAAAATCTAGAATTAATCATAAATTTCTAGTGGAATTCACAAGATTTTTAGCAAAAGTATTAAAATTCAGTCACTTTTCGAGTCTCACAAGATCATTGCTGTGAAACGAGCAATCTGTGCGCTCAAAAGCGTTTAGCTTCGACTGTATTCGGTTGTGGAAAAAGGAAGATCTGATTAGATCCTAATGAAACTGCAACCATTCAAAGTGCTGACTCGCGTAAAATGATACGAAATTTGTTTAAAGATAACTTGCTTATTCGCAAACCTGTGACAGTCCATTCTCTTTTTCGATGCAGACAAAACTTGATTGCATGTAGAAAAGGTCGTCACTCAGGAACGGTTAAAGTGATTAAGAATAGGTGAATAGTGCGTTACCTCATTTACAGGTTTCACTAAAAGTAGTCACACTAGGTATTATCGGGAAGTGGGAGTTTTCAAATCATTGAAAGGTTTACATCAATGCTAATCTAATTCATGCACAGAAGAATAATTAAAAATGATAACGGCTACACTCTTTTCATGACTAGGTCCTATGTACTTGCTACTCAATAGTTTTATATAAGGAATAAAGAAATATACAATCCTACCGGGTTACCAATGGTTTTCGATTCATGATGTAAACATCTTCGAAATATTCATCAACTCTTGATCTGACCTTTCATTCAAGTATCTATGCACAACTAACAACAGATTTTGCTTTCTAAAGAATAAGATGAAGTATGAGTAAAAATTAGTAATCAGTTATTAAATGATAAGCTAGTTTTATATTCATCATTGTTTCAAAATAGCCTCGACCAGTGGAGTCCAATGTGTGTCGGGTGTACACAGTTATCTGCCTCAGATAGTGAATAAAGGGTTACGCAAGATCATGGATCGATTGAAATTAGACATTGACATCGTTGGATACCGACTCAGTGGTCTACAGGTTATGTGCACACGCATGATACCAAAGGTCCTGGGTTCGAATCCTATATGTAGTATCGTATATACTCACTAATGAGGGGTTCAGTGCTTCCAGGTTTTCAATGGTAGTCTAGCTTAGATCAACTCATGAATTGAACTATTAAAACGTGTGTATTCATTCATTTTGTTTTTTTTGTTCACCATTCCAATCTTACTTATTTTAACATCATTTCTAGACAGTAATTATCTTTTAAAAATTATATATTTCTGTTGTATACCTAACTTGTTCATTATTCTCATATTGTTTTGAACTAAAAAGGATTCCAGGTTCACCGATGGTAGTCTAGCTTCAATTGTCTGATGAATTCAATTATTAAATCACTACAATCTCCACAAAACCCCTGTCCGATTATAATCATCATACGCTCACTAGTGACTAGCTTCAATAGGTATTTCTTGAAGTCCTAGTGAGAAACCGTAGCCACTGTAGCTCAATCAAGTCTGTTGTGAGATAGTACCTTACTAAATACAATGGTGAACGGTGGCGCAACTTCATGAATTAATTAAAATTAGACATTAATATCGTTGGATGTCAGCCGGCTCAGTGGTCTAGTGGTTGAGCGTTATCGCGAGAGACTGATAGGTCTTGGGTTCGAATCTCACGAGGCAGAGGCTGTGGATGCGTACTGCTGAAGAGTCCTCTACCAGAACGAAACAGTCATCCAGTGGTTCCAGGTTTCCCATGATGGTCTAGTTTCAACTGACTCATCAATCCAATTAATAAACTAAGAAAAATAGTGAATAGAATTAAAGAATAATAAATGATGAGAATGATGTAAAAGAAATATATTGAACAAAATAAATAACAACTCATTGTTTTATTTATTTAATTTTAATTCCCTTGATAATTTATTTCTTATCTCCTAGTCAGATTAATTTTTTTTTATTTTTATTTGTTGATGTACCTGTGATTGGGATCATCTATTGTTAGGTTGTTTACAATTAGAATCCTATATTTGTTCTTGTTTTCATTAGTAACAAGTAATAGGAGTGTTATTTAAATGTGTTATTGTAATGTGATATAGTTTATTTGAAAATATTCTCACAGTTATAAACCATTTCAAACTAATGAACTAAGTATGAAATAAAATGATTATAGATAGATGATTTATGGGATATGGAGTTTTTGTAGCATATTTGATTTTTAATATAGGGGTTGTAGAGATTGTTGAATTGTAATTGAGATGATGAATCGATCAATGTTAAATCATCATTGTAAACCTGAAAGCACGAAATGTCCATTTTGTCGTAGTATAAGACTCTTTGGCAGTAAGCATCTATGAGAACAAAGGTTCTGTGTTTGGTTCCTAGTTGAGGAGTCAGTAGATAATCACTGTTAAGAAGTCTCATGATACGGCGAATTGGTTGTTTGTTATGTATAGGTTTTCGATGGTTTTCAAACTCAGATCGGTTGATGATCTCAATCAATGCCAATTATTTAAGTGTTTACGAAATGAAACACCTACACATTTCCTAAATAATGAGTACGCTTATTTTTTTCCAGCAATGGTTATGTATTTGTCTATTATTTAAATTTATTTAAACACATACACATTGGTACAAGGAGGCGGTTTGTGTGTGTGTGTGTGTGTGTGTGTAAGGTGTGATACTGCCCGCACACTCAAACTGAAGCAGGTGATTTTTTTAAGGAACCACACCCGAAGCCTTCGATTTAAACGTCTAATCCACAAGACAGTGGAGCAACGTCAGGAGATGCAGTCCCATGGAAGCCGGTGACCAACTATAGGTTTATATGCCATTTGTTCCTTCAGGATCCTGGAGCCCATGTGAACCATTGATTTAGAATCAGGGCTTTTCAACTCCCTTAGATGAATCCTTCATATCCACCAACCCGGTTAAATTTCTAGATATTCGCTTTTCATCCTCTCAATTTCGTAAACAAAACCTCCACAATGAGAAGGCAGTGAGTAGAACTTCCCCATCAGTAGCTGTATACGCGTGGTCATATGAAAGAATTTGGAAACGGTGAGCTGTCTTTTTCCAACCTCAACCATACCAAGGGCATTTGAATGCATTCATTATGAGAATTTAGATTTAGTATACTAATTAACATTAAATATAATTAAAACTACGAACATTTATTTATTATTTATTTATTTTAACACATAAGTATAGGTACAGAGAGGCACCAAGTACATATGCGCCACACAGATCTCAATTGATTTGTGTGAGGGCTGTGATACTGCCCGGGTGCCCAAACCGAAGCAGGTGGTTTTCTTAGGGGGCCACACCCCGAGCCTTCGACCTGAACGTCTGACCCACAAGGCAGTGGAGCATCGTGAGGAGATGCAGTCCCATGGTAGCCGATGACCAACGATTGGTTCATACGCCATTTGTCCCCGCAGGATACTGGAGCCCATGTGCACCATTGGTTTGGGGTCCGGTTAAAGCGCCAGACATTCGTTTTTCGTCCTCTCATTTTTGTAAACAACACCCCCGCCACTTGAAGGCAGTGAGTAGGACTTCCCTGGCAGAGGCTATATACGTATGGCCATGTGATAGCATTTCGAGAGGGAGAGCGGACTCTCCCCACTCTCGGCCGTACCAGGGCATTTGGGGGCAAAACTACGAACAAAAAATGTTGTAGTTAATTTACTAAATACTCAAAACTCTTATTCCGTCCTAATCATTTAAATAATCTGAATACATTATGGATTTTTTGTTTAAATTTTGTTTTTGGTCACATTTTTGATTTTTCTCAATGTTTACTACTAGACATAATTTTGTTTTTTTTAATTAATCTGAAATTTTCTTTTATCAACTTTTCATACTATTTTGAACATTGTCACATAGATATCATAGTTTTATTTAGAAATGATTGATGGGAAACAATTGGATTATTTAATAAGATATTGATCTATGTCCATAGCGGAGTTGTATGTTGTTGTGTTTTTTTTTTTTATTTACACAGAATTTACGCCAGATCATCTACCAAATGGATAATTCAATGAAACATAAATTTCTACTTGTTAAGTTCAAACCAGATAATGCTTTGCCACTAGATGACGTGGTAGGGCTGAGAGTAGATAGAGTTGGCTTTCCCTTTCCAAATGCTCTGATATAGACACGTGCATACAGCTACTGATAGGGAAGTCCTACTCATTACCTTCTCATGGTAGGGGTATTGTTTTCGAAATTGAGAGGACGTAAAGTAAATATCCAGTACTTTAACCGGGTTGTTGGATATAAAGGATTCACCTAAGGGAGTTGAAAAGCCCTTATTCCAAACCAATGGTGTATATGGGCTCCAGAATCCTGAAGGAAAAAATTAATTCTGAACCAATGATTGGTCACCGGCTACCAAGTGACTGCATCTTTTGACGTCACTACACTGTCGTGTGGATTAGACATTTAGGTCAAACGCTCCGGGTGTGGCTCTCTCAGAAAACCATCTGTTTCGTTTTGGGCGTGCGGGCAGTATCTCAGCTCACACAAAAATCAAGTGACTTGTGTGTCACATATGTATTCGATGCCCCTTTGTACGATTATTTATGTATTAAATTGAATAAATAAATAGGCGATACGTACCTAATCAAGGATAATGTCGAAACAGTTCAACTTTTAAATAAATTGTAAAGAGTCAATACTCGTTTTGAATTAAGCTCAAATATTTATATTCTACAGTGACAACCACTGTAATTCCTCACTCATTAATCAAATTAAATTTTAGTGATAATTTTTATACTATTATCAAAAGTTGTAAGTAGTATACAGTCGTTCAAGTAAAACCACCTATAATTTTGGCTAATGTCTTATTGATTATGACTATTTCAACAAACCTATACCATTCTTTTTCATTAAAAAAGTCAAATAGTTAATAACATGTAGTGAGTATTACAATCAAGGATAAAATTAAATCACTTGTTGTATTTTTAAAGAAACAATCCATTTGTATGAATAAATATAAAGTTCTAAATAAAATCCTATATATCAACGGGAGATTCAAACAAACAATATCAAGTGAATATAAACATCACCACATAGCACGAGCAAGTGGCTATCAGGACTCAGTATCTAAGTGGATAACGTGATGGTGTTTGGGGCGAACGGTACTGAGTTCGAGTCCCAGAGTGAACATCATCTCAGATGCAGGTACATCCAGTTGACGAGTCCCAGATAGGACGAAACGCGCGTCCTGGATTCCACTGCTAGCCACTATCCAATTTTGCATAAAAATAAAGTTTGCCTAATTTTGGATGAATTTAGTTAGAAAATAAGCTTTTTCCTAACCATAAACATTGTTATCTTAATTAGTTATACATAATTTAAATATGTTTCATAAATGTCCAACTATTCAGGTAAGAAATGTGGTATGTATAAAATTGGATGTGCTAGAATCCTATCAGTAGAATATGAATTATGTTCACCATGATTTTGTATGTTCAATTTTCTAGATAAAGTTCAAATAGAAAAAAGATAGAATGTGTCTAGTAGTGTGAGTCATAATATTTATTTTGTCCTGTTTCAGACTCGTTGGCTGAGTGTACTTTAATCTCAGTATGGATTTGCATTTGCAAATTCAACTACAATGTCTATAGCTCAAATCATTATCCACTTAGCTATTCAGTACACATAGCCACTAGCTTATGCAACGTGAATAGATTTAAGTTCAATCTTATGATGGTTTTAGGATTGAAATTCAGTGAAAAGTATTAGAAACAATATGATCTAATACCAAATTACAAGTTGGACTAAATATTGGTTACGTTATATACTAAAAGATATTATTATTTTAATCAATAAATGATTATTTAATTGAAGAGGAGTTTTGTAAATGTTTTAGTAATTTAATAGATGAGTTAATGAGTCTGTTGTGGCTAAACTATTATGAAAAGCCTGAGAGCGCTGGATGGCCGTTTTGTGGATGCACATTACTGAGGAATCCCATACTGGGACGAAACGGCCGTCTAGTGCTTCAAGGTTTCCCATTGTGGTCTAGCTTCAATTGTTATTATTATTTATTTATTTTAACACATAGATATCGGTACAAGAAGGCACCAAATACATATGCGCCACACAGATCTCAATTGATTTGTGTGAGGGCTGTGATACTGCTCGGGTGCCCAAACCGAAGCAGGTGGTTTTCTTAGGGGGCCACACCCCGAGCCTTTGACCTGAAGATCTGATCCACAATGCAGTGGAGCATCGTGAGGAGATGCAGTCCCATGGTAGCCGGTGACCAACGATTGGTTCATACGCCATTTGTTCGTTCAGGATACTGGAGCCCATGTGCACCATTGGTTTTTTGGATCCGGTTAGAGCCGGTGCCGGACATTCGCTTTTCGTCCTCTCATTTTCGTAAACAACACCCCCGCCACTTGAAGGCAGTGAGTAGGACTTCCCTGGCAGGGGCTGTATACGCGTGGCCATGTGAGAGCATTTCGAGAGGGGGAGCTGACTCTCCCCACTCTCGGCCATACCAGGGCATTTGGGGGCCAAGCTTCAATTGACTCACGATTTGATCTATTAAATTATTTAATTACTAAATTGAGGGGAAATTCTCAACTTATGACTTAATCTCAAATAATTTTAACTAGGTGGAATAATATTATTTCCAGAATTCAATGTTATGTATTTAACAATATACTAATTTACCAATGCTTAATAGACAATCTACTTAGTAATTATAAGTAGACACAATTGTTAACAAAAATAATTCGAACCTCGCGGGTGGGATTGTGGATGCTCACTGTTAAGTAGTCCCCTACCAGGACGAAACGACCGTCCAGTGCTTCCAGGTTTGCAGTTGTGGTCTAACATTGGTTGTTTCATGACATCAATTATATCTGGTTTTTCTAATGTATAACTTGTATGAATCACAGCATTATGGTGTGATCTATTTAAAATTTGATAACTGTAATATATATATATATATATATATATATATATATATATATATATATATATTACTTACGCCTGTTACCTAAACCACATAGAGGAGCATAGGTCGTTCACCAGTATTATCCATTCAACTCTGCTCTAGGTAATCCTTTCCAATTGCTATTGATCCTTTTCATATCTGTTACCATTTCCCGATGCAGTATGTTTTTTGACCGTTAATATATACGCAAATGTTTATAATCTAATATTGTTTAGTGTTAGAATGGCAAAATTGACTAAAGAAAAGAAGGAAAACTTGGATAAATGATAACTTTTTTTCTCAGTAATGTGATTTCAGAATGTTAACCAAAGAAACAAGTGACTTATAGTTAATATATGCCTTAGTTACAAGATACTTTTATGATATTACTTATAAGGTAACTAGTAATGATTAATTAAGAATAATGAAGAACGATCAGTAATCAGTTAAAAGTGTATTATTTAAGTTATAAAACTTTTATTAATTTATTTATTAAATCATTTTCTATAAATTCTTTTTACCAGTTTAACAGCAACTTTGGCAGCAATAGGAGCGGCTAGTGTTCCAAGCGCTGGTTTAGTAACTATGATGTTAGTGCTTACATCTGTTGGATTGCCTACAAAAGATATTTCTCTAATTTTAGCGGTTGATTGGTTACTGTAAGTTTAAAAAAATAGTAATCATCTACTTTATTTCATGATAATAAAATTACTTTATAGTTTTACATTAAAAATTGTCTTTAGCTAAATAACTAAAAGTAAATAGATAACATTATGCTATTAGTAAGCTCTTCGGTAGTGAACAAACATAACTTCACTCGGGGTCGAATGCATGATTCTTAACCCATACAGAGAATGTATTACTCATAGATCATTAAGTTAATATCCAACGGAGAAAAATCCTCGATACTGTGTAACTTTTATTGATTACAGTTAGTAAAATCAATTTCATTACCAATATGATTGACCCACCACTGATTAACGTTTCTAAATTGATTTGGGAGAAATAATGAGAGAGTGAAGTGTAACTAAGCATATATTTAATGTTTGTGTATATCTATGCGGACTATTCAATTTTACGACATACAATGCAAATTTTCGTAATTCATAATCACTTCATACATTATATGATGGATATTTAGTAAGCTTGATATAGTTATTGTCATGCACTTGATACTTGATTGAGATATCAAACTCGTGGAAACTAGATATGCAAGTATTTATGTTGGTATTCTTGTGGTTAGCGCATTCCACTACTGTATTATTTATCTGCTCACTGTAATTTAGACACTTGATCCACCATGTAATTTTCTGTGTGAGTCTGAATAAGCACATGTCAATGTCTAATCTATTCTGAGATTGGTTGTAATACACAGATAATCAATAACTCATCCATGCTTGATTAACGCTCATAAATATATATGGATTTTTAACACTCACCCCCACACATACATTCTTGGTTTCCCTGTGTGCTTGCTTGCTGTACGCTTGAGGATTTTACCAATCTTTAACAATAAACTATCTCTATAACTGATGTTCGGGCTTTTGAATAATCTCCAGTAAATCCATAATTCTACTAGGAGATTTAACCTGCATTCAATACTCAGTTAACGGGATACTATTTTTATTGGAGTCAGATATAGAGGAAATTAGCCTCTTAACAAATGCATTTAGAACACGCACTATTTCCCTACAAAGTTGGTAACCCGCAATTAGAGCACGCATTTCTCTACAAAGTCTGCTGCATATTCTTCAATCATATCATAAAGAACTTCGCATTGGAATTAATATTAAAATTATTAGCAACATCCTCAGTCAACTTCTTGTCAAACACAAACCAATTCATACTTCAAAATGATTTAATCAGTCAGTTAATTAGTTAAAAAAGTCAATAATTGTAAGACAGTTTCCAATTAGGATTTCAAATGATTGGTAGAATACTATTTCGTATCATTATATTTTGCAGCCCGCTTCAATTACAATGTATTGTCTTATGTTTGATGATATTCACTAAGTCATAGGAAGGAAACAAGGTTACCTGGGGAATTTCATTACTAAATGAATACGTTTATGAGCAAGTTTGTAAATTGTTGTAGCTGTTATTAAACATAAATGATTTGCTTAGCTTCTTCGATATATCATACTACTTCTATTTAACTAGTTTAACTTTGCGAAAGATTTTTATTTATATCCATATAGGAAAGCAGAGCAAATCTCTCGGGCAAAAATCATAAACATCGAAGATTTCATTGATTATTGATTTAATATTAGTCTGTGAATGTGAACTAAGTTTTCAAAGTTCACTTGGTGTTGTTTTACTTGTATTTCCCCATTGTTATTTAAGACTGCAATTGATCAGTCTCTTGTTAGTATATGTGCATTCTGTGAGGATTGTCATGATATAGCTTTAGGTCACAAGCATTATAAGCATAGATAGATAGTGGCTAGCAGTGAAATCCAGGAAGCGCGCCATTTCGTCCTATTTCAGACTCGTCAGCCGAATGTTCCTGCACCTCAGAGTTGATGTTCACTCTGGAACATGAACTCAGTGTTTTCAAAGGAAACAACTAATTTGAAAAAATATTAGTTTATCTGAAAGAATTTCACTGTTAATAACTATAACTAAGATTTGAAAAATATACGCATCATTCATTTCTATTAAAGTTGGATGATTTAAATCATGGAAAACAGAGTAATAAACAATAAAACTAATTCAGACTGATTTGAAACTCTTCAATTGTGCAAAAATACAAGCTAAAACAATGTTGATGTTAACATCTTTCAAGTGTTTAAACAATTGCATTCACATTTACATATTTGATTCTCTCTATAAAACAAGTTAATGGCCTGTGGTGAGAACTACTGAATCATAAAATGAACAGACTAAAAAGTCACTCAAATTCTCATCAATATCATTTAATATTAGTAAGTTGATGGTTTAAATATATTTTTTTTTGTTTTATTTTTCTTCAGTGATCGAATTCGTACTTCAATTAATGTAATGGGTGATGCAGTTGGAGCTGGTATAGTTAATCATTTATGTTATAAAGAATTAGCTCAAAAAGATGCTGAAATTGATAAAGAAATAGATGAAGTTGTAGAAGAATATACACGTGAATTATCTAATACAACTAATATAACAGATCGTGAAAAACGTAATTCATCTAGTTTAGGTCGTTATAATAAAAAACGTATGAGTTTAGCAGCAGCAATGCGTTTACAAGAAAATACATCACCACTTGGTACAGTGATGCCAAATCAATCAACAATAAATGAACCAGAATCACCAACATCTAAAATATATTTACCAATGAATATACAATCAATTGATAAAAATGAAAATTAATTATTTCATAATTACATTACTATTATTATTATTATTATTATTATTATTATTATTATCATACTTTCTATTATTGAATATCTTGATAGTTTAAGTATGTTTCTATTCTCAAGTTCTTTATCATACTATTACACATTTGTTTTTGTTTTCTTTCTTTTTTTCATTCTTTACATCATTTTCATTCAATAGAATTAGATGTTTTAAGCTTCTCATGAATCCCCCCATTTTTTTCTTTTTTTAAAAAACAAAACAAAAAAATGCACACACACACACACACAAAACAAACTTACATTTTAAACTCATGTTTAAGTTTGGAACAATAATTAGTGTAGTATGATTTTATTAAGATGAAAAAAAAAATAAAAAAAAATAAAAATAAAACAAAATTTATTAAACATTTAATAAAAATCAATGAATTGGTTACTAGATTACATCATTCAATTATTAATATCATTTATTGTAAACTAATAATAATCAATAATGTAAACAATTTCATGATCAGTTTTACATATTCATATAAATTTATATATAATTAGTATATTCTCTATAAAGGGAATAAGAATATACAATAATAAGATGAAGTTACCAGGAGAGAAAGAGAGAGAGAGAGAGAGAGAGGGAGGCAGGGAAGGAGAGGAAGAGATCAGTTGTTCTAAATGTTCATTTGTTTAATATCTATATTAGTAATTTTGGATGATATTATTATTTTCTATTCAATATTACATACTATTCATTTTCAATAAGAAGAAGAGAAAAAAGAAAAAGAAGAAAAAAGAGAAAAAAAGAAATGAAAACAAAGAAAAATAATCAATTTTAATTTATTTAAAATGAATGATATGTTGAATTATTTATTCATTTTATTTACTAATGATCATTTATTATACGATTGACATTTTATGTTGTATCATTGATAATGATAATTCTATGCATATAAATAATAATAATAATAATATTTATTAATTCAATATATTTCACATATATTAGCTGTTCATCACACAACTCTATATGATACTTACTTAATTACTTATGCCTGTTACCTGTCATGAAGGAGCATAGGCTGCTCAAAAGTATTCTCCGTCCAACTCTATCCTGTTGAATCCTTTCCAGTTGTTATACATTCTTTTGATACCTGTTTCCAATTCTTGATGCAATGTGTTCTTTGCTCTTCAACTTTCTTATTTTCTTTCACGATTCAAAGTAAGCGCTTGCCTCAAGATGTAGTTTAATGATTTTCTCATTGTATGTCTTATCCATATCCAATATCTTTTCCTAATTTCTTCTTCAACTGGTAGCTGATTTGTTCTCTTCCACAGTAGGCTGTTGTTGATGATATCTGGCCAAAGAACATCCAGTATCTTACATAGACAACAATTTATAAATATTTTTACATTTTTGATGATGGTTGTGTTAGTTTTCTAAGTTTCAGCTCCGTACAATTGAACTTTCTCGACGTTCGTATTAAAGATTCTGACTAATATTGGATGAGTTATTTTGAGTTGCAAATGTTCTTCAACTGTAGGAATGCTTTCCTTGCTTTGCCAATTTTTTCATTTACGTCTTTATCAGATCCGCCTTCTTCATCGATCATGCTACCCAGATAAGTGAATGTTTCATCAACTGTGATGAAGAAACTTTACACGATAGCAAATGTATACTTGTAAATAATAGATTGTCTGTCACAGTAGGTTGAAATAGATATATTTTTATATTTCATTAACTTACTAGTAGGTTGTTGATGTGTTAAACATATTTGTCAGCTAAAGATTTATATATTTTTCTTTGTGTACTACTAAAAGTTAGTAATATCAACCGTTTATTCATATTGAAATGGTTGAGGAAAGGTTCAAATCTGCAATCAACTGGTTATAAGTAGAATGTTTAAGCCAGTGTTCCACATAGGTTCTTGATAAATGTTTTTTATAAGTTATTGTTAAATAAAACCGATTTAACTATGAAGTTCATTAGTGAATCCTTAAGAGGATAAATAATTTCTTCAAGATTCGAGTCAATGTTTCAGGGTACGACAGATAGTGATAAGATTGAAATGTTGAAGAGGATGTTTAGGACTGAAATCGATCAGTCTCTTATTGGCATATATGCATACTGCCTCGATATTGCCTTAATTTACAAGCATTATAAGAAAAGATGGATAATGACTAGCATTGGAATCCACGACGAGCGTTTCGTCCTATTCGGGACTCGTCAGCTGGATGTACGGTACTGTGTTGGAGTTCCAGAGTGAATATCAACTCTGGGATGCAGGTACATCCATACAACGAGTTCGAAACACGACTAAGTACGCGTTATGGATTCCACTGCTAGCCACTCTCCATCTCTGCTTATAAAACATACAATCATTCGAATATCGATAAATGGACACTAAACATTAATTTTGATTATTTAAGTTAGACTGATCAAATTGGGAAACGACATTAATATAATTTGCAAACTATTAAAGTAGTTGTATTCATGATAAGCTTAAAAATCTATACAACATTATTATAGTTTTAAACGGTTCTATCAAGATTTATGATATGAATTACCAACGAGCATGAAAACTAAGTCCAGTGTATCCTGCCGATAATCTCTAACCACCTGACAAAGTTTCTTTTATCAGAAGGGGTTTTGTGAAGATTTTTGGAAATTCCAATAGTTGAGATCATGAGTAAATTGAAGCTAGACCACGCAGGAGACGAGATCGTGGATACTCACTGCTTAGGAGTCCCATACTAAGATGAAACGGCCGTCCAGCGCTTCCATATTTTCCATGGTGGTCTAGCTTCAATTGACTCATGATATCAACTACTGAAAGTTTTTTTTTGTTTAGAACATAAAACTATGTTAAACTTTAAATATACCACACAATTTAAAATTGAACAGGAGCATTTGTTATATTTCTCTCTTATAATAACCCAGCTATTCCTCTTGCACAGTATTCTCGGACACAGATTCACTCGACGAGTCCCCAAACCAGAATGCGGTTGAACAGGAAAGAGAGGCGAGGCTCTTTTACTATCCAGTTCGCGATAATTGTCGTAATTTGACTTAGTTAGGAATTATTTATCGGGTTTTCATCACGAACTGAAATCAGATATAATGCCAGAAATTTATTTAGCCAAATGGATTAAAGACTTTCGCACCAAAATCCGAGATCTGTTATGTTATACCTGATTGATTCGTCCACAAATTATAGTCTCGCCATTTTATTTGTTCTAGCCACTCAATTATCACGTTTTGTACAAAATTCCTTATGAACCCATCATACGTTAGCATTAAGCACTGAAGTTGGCGTCGTAACCTTGAAAGTTCTCAAACGCTTCTGATTGGCTCGTCCATAAATTAGAGTCTCGCCGTTTTTACATGAAATTTTTAAAGTATTCTCCAAGCATCGACTAGCGCTGATTGGATAATAATTAGCCAATCAGTGTGCAGCAAAGAAATCGTGCATCGGCCATGATTTAATCCAATCTATGTCCTGTTAACAACATTATTAATAATATTAGTCTAAACATAGGTCAGTCTGTTTTCAATAACGTAGGATCTAGTATGAATATGAGAATTCAGTTCAAATGAATAAATATTACACTGAGAAAGGAAATTAACGAAATAGAAATCAAATACAACGAATTGATTTTAAATTCAATCAAAATCTAAACATAAAAGAGATAGAGATGGAATAAGTGAAATAGAAAATGTTACGCATGATGTTCAATGACAAACGTAACCAAGCTAACTTTTACATTGGTATATAAATAACTTTAAAATTCTTATACGCACGATATTGGTTGGTTGCATACGAGTAACCTTAGGAATCTCTCTCTCTCTCTCTTTTTACTACACATATATGGGCAAATATTAAATTGTTAACGTGAATAGGAAACCAAACTAGAAATCTTTTTTCCTAGTAACAATTGTTTGAAATGATACTATGTCAAAATTATTGTTGAAACAAAATTAGCTTCGTCTTGTTCTTTTTGAAGTCAAAAAGAATTTGGTTTGCACATAACTTGTTAAGTTTTCATAAAACACAAAATGAAATAGCCAAGTAAGTTATATACACACATATATAAAGACAGTTTATCAGCGTTACATAACTTCTATTAACATCAAATAAATACAACAATTTTTCCGTTTACATCACGGACTGATCTTACTAAAGAAGAACTAATGATAACGAGTAATCACTGGACAGCTGTTTCGTCTTGGTATGAAACACTTCCAGTATTGGGCAGCCATGACTTAGCCAGAGATCGAATCCAAGAACATCGGTCACTCTACGAGTGCTTAACCTTTAAAAAATAAATCCACATTCAAAAGTTTAAACTCTTAATTGCAATCAACTTTTGATATAGCTGTAGCCATTCTCAAATGTCACTACTAATTAATAACTACCTCAAACTCGACATGACTGAATTCCACTTGTTATGGCTTTTAATTAACTACGACATGGACTGACTGGGGGAAAGGAACGAGAATGGTGATTTGCAAATCTACGTGCATTCAACAAAATGGTTATATGCGGTACTATATTACCCCACAAACGCATACACAAAGCCATACGAGTTTCCCCGGATCACACTACAGAGAATTGGATTGATCGTAATTGCATTACTATAAAATTCAGAAAGTCGATCGAAGACGTGAGAACAAAGAAAGGAGCTGATATAATATCAGATCACCACCTATTGATCGCCGAGATGAAACTGAAGTTAAAAGGAGTACTAACCAATTGCAGAAACAGCATTACAAAGGTTTAATACAGCCTTCCTTAACGAATTCATGGTGGATTTCAGCGACAAATTCCAAGCCTTACAAGATCTATTCAAAGAGGAAACTTCTATGGAGAACAACTCGTAAGAGATCAAACAAGCAATAACATCAACGTGCCAAGAGCTTCTGGGAAGCAAGAAGCATCACTATATGGAATGGATCTTTGTCAAGATTCAAGAAAAGAAGAACGGGAAGACAAAGATTAACAGTAGCCGAACAAGAGCAGAGAAGGT